CTTACCCAGGAAAATGAAGGCGGGGGGGAATGACATTGTTATGAAAGCTCGTACCCCTACATACAGATTTCACTTGCACTTTACTAATCAATCAAACAATATGTGAGTAATAACACCGACATGATGTCTTAGCAAATAATATTTTTAACATACAAGTCTACAAAAATATAGGAAGTTCTTTCTTTTCTTCCCTATACCTCTCCGTTAGTGTTCTATTCATCATTGATCTCATAGTCATAAACTCAAACTTCTGAGATACCATAGTTCCAAGTCTTAATCCTTCCTGGATCACTCTTTCGAAAATTTTATTATAAGAATCATATTTATACAACTCTAAACCTCTCCCGATTTCCTATACATATTACCCAAAAATACTTTTATCCACTAATCACGTATTTGCTTAGTTGTATTTATCTTATTAAATAATTTAGTTAACCAAGTGCTTTGACATGTCCTAAAACTTTGTAACCGCAATTGGCAAACTGTAAAGTCCTAAAACTATTCAATGCACCTAAAAAAAATTATGTTGAAACGCAACATGATGGTTTACTTTTGTTTCCCGAGTCTAATAGCAATAATGGGAATTGCACTCAAATTAGCTTTGTTAATTGCCTTGTCACTTAGATGGTAGCAGGGATCCAATGTGGAAATCAGTCTCTAATTGCAAAATAAACAACCTATATAAACATCTGAAACAGCGTTCCTAGTTCAATAAGTTTGTTCACTGTGTGACTGACATAACCCAGCAACGTTGGGCAAAGCTATAATCCATGTGTGTCTTATATTCCCAATAGAAAGTGCAACTATCAGATGTAAGGCACACATTTTTTCCAGTACATCAAAATGTGAATATTCAGATACACGCACATGCACACACAAGAAAAGAGAACAGACAAAGAGGAGATGGTATCACTATAACAATCATCAAATCTATAAAACTAATCAATAAATCATAATTTGCAAGCTGGAATGTTCTTACATTGATTTGATATTTGGCACCACTGCATTATCTCCCATCACGGCCATCTAAAGTGAGATGAGACTTGGAATATGAGATTGCTTCAAATTTTGATTCAACCCCATAAATCTCAAGACACTTCCATTTTTTTGTTTTAGGGTCATAACATATGAAGGCAGTTTTAGGGTAATGATACATTAACAACTCCCCATTCTTCAGATAATTTATGGGCTGGTACAGTCCGCGAATCCACGTCTCATTACCATCACCAGTGTCGGTAGAAATCGCTTCAGTCCTAGATTTTGCGACCCCATACGCCTTCATCACCCAAACTTTTATTCAACCTTAACAAGAAGCATCACACAAAAATAAACAACCTCTTATTACTCCCAGACACACGCTATGCAATGGTTTCGAGCCAATCATGCAATATCTAACAGGAGGCGATGGAATAAATTGGAATTGCTCATTATCAAAGTCAAAGGAGAGTATAGAATCTGAACTATTGTGGTAAATACAAAGNCAATAGAAATCGCTTCAGTCCTAGATTTTGCGACCCCATACGCCTTCATCACCCAAACTTTTATTCGACCTTAACAAGAAGCATCACACAAAAATAAACAACCTCTTATTACTCCCAGACACACGCTATGCAATGGTTTCGAGCCAATCATGCAATATCTAACAGGAGGCGATGGAATAAATTGGAATTGCTCATTATCAAAGTCAAAGGAGAGTATAGAATCTGAACTATTGTGGTAAATACAAAGCCAATGAATAGCCCCTTTCAGATAGGTGGGGAATGCAAGCTCATAAATTGAGAAGGGAGTACAGCCTATGCTTTTCCATGATTGAATGCCAAGTGTGTGTATCTCAGCCATCCTACTAGTTAGTACTTCTCTGCCTGTAATGGGGCAATGATAAAATTGACAAGGCCCCTGATCAAACATTCTGATCTCCTTGAACCGATTTATCTTTGGACTAAAGCCAAACCCACAATCAATGAAAGCTTTTGTATCTTTATTTACCTTCCTAGCCATTGGAAGGTTTATGTGATCCTCCTTAACTGGATTACACACGACAACAGGATCATTACTTGATGGTTCAGACAAACAAAGGAAGCCATCGCATGAATTTACTATTTTGAACTTTTNAACTGGATTACACACGACAACAGGATCATTACTTGATGGTTCAGACAAACAAAGGAAGCCATCGCATGAATTTACTATTTTGAACTTTTGATCTTTGGATTTCACTTTGATGCATCGCTTCCTCTTAGTATCACCAGTAGAGCAATGACTCATTCTGGCATCACCCATCCTGTCAAGCACCATTTCTTCATTGCGCAGAGGGATCTTTAATTTGGTGTCAACCATCATATTACTATGACAGTCACATTTAAAGTAGCCAAGAACATAACACATGCAGTACCTACAATCAACTTCAGTCGGCTCAACCAAATAAAGCATTCTTGACACACGGCCAGCATACGAGGTTCGAACCAGAGGGCAGACCTGTGCTTGTCTAAAGTGCAGCTTAGCAAACTGAAGGTTTGAAATAATATGGCGCCATGTTTTGCATGTGTTCTTGCACATGATAGTTCCCTTGATGGGCAATCTTAGTAGAATATCTACAAAGATTGGCTCAGGAAGATCCTTGATGGAGTGGCCCAATCTTTGAACATGTTCATCTGCTTCTTTTATTCGAATTTATTTGATTGATGTTGGAGTATTCTACAATTTTTTCGTGCAATCTCATCTCCTACTCAGACCACTCGACCGATCTCATCAACTTGAAAATTCACAAGTACTCCGCTAAATGGAGCAACTCAATATTGCTAGGTGGGGCAGCTTCCATGATGGCTCGGGCTTTGTTCTTATCAATCTACACTCACAGATAGAGAGGCCTACGAGAGGAGATTTATTCAAGAAAAGAGAAGCCTATACGTTATAAAAAGGAGTCTTGGCAATCTAGCCAATATCGTATAAAGTTGATGCTACTTTGTACCCCTCGTTGCTTGCTTCAATCAATCGTACTTCTGCTCGTGAAAACGGAAACGTACTTTAATTTATAGAAACTATCAACATTAGGTATAGGTTAAAACCTAAAAACACATACACCGAATACATAATATATAGTTACCCACTTTTCGACCTAATTTGTTAATATAATAATATAGTTTCATTGCAACCATTAGATTCGGTCTCAATAACATTACTCATAGTTAATTTAATAGTTATAGTAAATTCGGTCTCAATAACATTGCTCTTCAACAATAAGTTAAGGGGTTAAATTGTGAGGATTTAATTCTTGAAAGGCTAAAGGTATAATTGAAAGTGGAGAAAGTATAATTAAAATGGATGAAAGCATATTTAGTATTTGGAAAGAAGTTGTCGGCAAAAGAAAAAGAAAAAAAGAAGGCAGAATCAAATGTTTTAATAACTTTTATTGTGCATATTAAATGAAAATAGAGGTTTGGGTCCATATACTATCCATATCGAAAGAATAACGTTAAAAATTAATAAATAAAAAAGAAAGTTGGGACTTATATTTTAATAATTCATATCACTATTCATCCATTGAATGAAGTCATATCACTATTCATCCATTGAATGATATTGGAGGGACATTCACAGATGAATTCCGATTAATATCTAACTCTTGGTCTTTCCATTAGTTTTGGATATTCTATTTCAGCGTCGATCCAACAATAAAAAATAATATCCTAAGTAAGCCTGAGATGAGAATGCTTTTGTAAAATCCTGATCACACGTATCATTGAAAAACTCACTTAAGTAAAAGCTGTGATGAAGTTGTGATCGTGAGAATTTAGCTATTCTCTAGTAACCCTCCTAAAAATCAAGGTATGTGTTTGACCGTAAATAACGCCAACCTGCTAAATCAAGTTTAATGTTTGTACTATGCATGTGCAATGTTAAAATTTGACTAAAAGGACCAAATTCAATAAATAGTTCACTATGACTCTTATAAATAGAAACTATCAACATTAGGTGTAGGTTCAAACCTAATAACACATACACTAAATACATAGAATATTTTTTTTTGAACAGTTAAATACATAGAATATAGTTACGCACTTTTCGACCTAATTTGTTAACATAATAATATAATTTTATTGTAACCTTTAGATTAACAATAAGTTCTAATATTTGATGGAGCTCATAATTAATCTAATGGTTATAGCGAATTCGGTCCCAATAGCATTGCTCTTCAACAATAAGTTAAGGGGTTAAATTGTGAGGATTTAATTCTTGAAAGGCTATAGGTATAATTGAAAGTGGTGAAAATATTATTAAAATGGATGAAAGCATATTTATGTATTCTACGGGAGAAAAGTTTAAATATAACACTTTTGGAAAGAAGTGGTTGGCAAAAGAAAAAGGAAAAAAGAAGGCAGAATAACATGTTTTTGTAACTTTTATTGTGCATATTAAACGAAAATAGAGGTGGGGTCCATATACTATCCATATCAAAAGAATAACGTGAAAAAGTTAATAAATAAAAAAGAAAGTGGGGACTCGTATTTTAATAATTCAAATCACTATTTATCCATTGAATGATATTAGAGGGAGATTCACAGATAAATTCCGATTAATGTCTAACTCTTGGTCTTTCCATTAGTTTTTATCATTTGATCAACTGGAGACATAGTCCAATCGAATATTCTATTTCAACGTCGATCCAACAATGACAAATACTATCTTAAATGAACTTGATGTGGGAATATTTTTGAAAAACCATGATCACGTGTATCATTGGAAAACTTACATAAGTAAGAGCTGTAATGAAGTTGTAATCGTAAGAGTTTAGCTATTCTCTCGTAACTCTCTTGATAATCAAGGTATGTGTTTGACCATAAATAGCGCCAACATCCTAAATCAAGTTGTACTACGCGTGTGCAATGTTAAAATTTGACTAAAAGGAACTAATACTATAAATAGTTCACTATGACTCTTTTAAATAGAAACAATCAACATTAGGTGTAATCATTGTGTCATCTTTTTTTCGGTGTTTAGAGGGCACAATACGTACCACATGACATTGCCGCGGTGCCGGACAGGGCTGGAAAAGTTACAAAATTGGAAGAAAGCTGCATGAGTGACAGCATTTCAAACTTTTGCCCTATCTACGATAAATCAGAGGCTGAATGCTCTGCACTATGTGTCGTACGCTGCGCAGCTCAATGTGCAATCGATATTGGACTCTGCCATTTCAAGGCCATTCTTGAAATGTAGCAACCATGTATGATCTAAATATGTGTGTGTGCGTACTTGTGTGAATTTTCAAGTGTGTTTGTTTGTAATTGGATAAAACTAGAGATATATAGCTCCCAGTTATCCAACGAATAAAATTTAATGTGTTCTGCCGGCAACCTTATCGTGGTTGTTATGATGCCGGCAGCTTTATCGTGGTTGTTATGACGAAAAAGTTATTGTTACGATGCTCTTTTAACTACTCAATAAAATCTTATTGTTTCTATGATAAGATGTTCATCAAAAAAGCCTATGCATGCACAGATAAATATGTTTGAACTTGAATCAATTGATATGTTTTTCGGGTGTAGTTTTTTATTAAAATTTTAAATTTACCCCTTTTTATTTATTTTGAAAGTTCAACTTTGTAGTCATACAACTTTGGTAGCAACACTCAAAATCATGTAAATTTTACTTCGAGTTAATCAATCAGAATGCAAAACGGCATTTAAGTCTTCTAGTCTACTATAGACTAACTACTACGATATTCCTGTCATCTACACTTTGATCTATTCCAGTCAAAAGAAATGAAACATTGGTGGGTGCTTACTTGGGAAAAGCGTGGGATGGGGTTACCTTGTAATAACTCGTACAAAAAAATATATATTGTTGTGATCGTGCAGCAATTATGGTAAATAGTAAGGAATCAAACAATTAAGAANCATTGGTGGGTGCTTACTTGGGAAAAGCGTGGGATGGGGTTACCTTGTAATAACTCATACAAAAAAATATATATTATTTTATTTTTGTGCATTGGATATATATATAATTAAAGAAAATTAATATGTCTTAAATAAAAGTATTGTCTGAGAGAGATCTTTTTGGACTATTCTAGATGTAATTTACATACGATAGTATTGTTAAATAGATAAAACTTTACAAGACCAAAGAAGGGGCGGCAAACAAAAAAAAAAACGTGAGATAGAGAAGGAAGGAAGGGAAAAAAAAGGATAATGGAGGAGTTGGATCCATTGAAGATATGCGGATGCATTACTTATATTATGAGTTTTGTATTTTATTATATCACATGGAGTTAGATTTCATAGCATAAATATATATATATATACACACACACACGCAAATAATTTTTGAAGATAGTAAGTTGAATTTGGATATATAGTTATTTGAGATTTGATTGAGTTTAATAGATTGAAAAAAGAAAAGAAAGGTGGTTGAGTTGTTAAATTTCCAGGAGACTTCCCGTAGGTCAAAGAAGATAGAAATTTGAAATTACGAAAAATTTCTTTTCAGTTTTAAAGAGCCTTACTTTGACCCCTATATTCTTCTAAACTTAATTTTAATCACTGTTTTACATGGTAAGTTGGAAGAATAAAATTTTGGAAAATTTATGGCAGTCCTGAAAGTAGAAAATTCATTTTTCAAAAAAATTATACTTTGACACCAAAAGTTTCAAAAATTATGATTTAACCCCAAAATTTTTAAAACCTTTTATAAACTACCTAGATTACTTCCATACCCAATTAGCTCACATTAAAAATATTATTTTTATGTAAAGGATGTATAAAGTATATATCAATGGGTAGGAAGTATAAAAATTATATATATAGTCGCGAAATGACGAAGTTAGAAATATGATTGATCGTTATATGTTTTTTTGGATTAAGTGGTGATTGCATTGAGGTTGAGAAAAAAGACTTTGAATTGGATTTTGGGAATAAAAGTGAATAGTTTATTACTTCTTTTGTGAGAATTTTTTATATTAAATGTGTGGATGCGTGCGGAGGGGATTTTTCATATATATGATACATATGTTGATATTTGGGGTTGCAATTAAACATTTTGTAATTGTGAGTTGTTATACATGTGAATTTTGGAAAAAAATTTGGGATGATTTTATATCATTACTTTAGTGATGAAAGGGAAATTTTGTGTGCGTTCGGATAAAAATGACATTTTTGATATGTGTGAGAATCATGTTTTATGGGACGAAGGTTGAGTTACCAGGTCCAAATGGTAACGAGNAATTAATAAATAAAAAAGAAAGTGGGGACTCGTATTTTAATAATTCAAATCACTATTCATCCATTGAATGATATTAGAGGGAGATTCACAGATAAATTCCGATTAATGTCTAACTCTTGATCTTTCCATTGGTTTTTATCATTTGATCAACTGGAGACATAGTCCAATCGAATATTCTATTTCAACGTCGATCCAACAATGACAGATACTATCTTAAATGAACTTGATGCGGGAATACTTTTGAAAAACCATGATCACGGGTATCATTGGAAAACTTACATAAGTAAGAGCTGTAATGAAGTTATAATCATGAGAATTTAGTTATTCTCTCGTAACTCTCTTGATAATCAAGGAATGTGTTTGACCATAAATAGCGCCAACATGCTAAATCAAGTTGTACTACGCGTGTGCAATGTTAAAATTTGACTAAAAGGAACTAATACTATAAATAGTTCACTATGACTCTTTTAAATAGAAACAATCAACATTAGGTGTAATCATTGTGTCATCTTTTTTTCGGTGTTTAGAGGGCACAATACGTACCACATGACATTTCCGCGGTGCCGGACAGCGCTGGAAAAGTTACAAAATTGGAAGAAAGCTGCATGAGCGACTGCATTTCAAACTTTTGCCCTATCTACGATAAATCAGAGGCTGAATGCTCTGCACTATGTGTCGTACGCTGCGCAGCTCAATGTGCAATCGATATTGGACTCTGCCATTTCAAGGCCATTCTTGAAATGTAGCAACCATGTATGATCTAAATATGTGTGTGTGNTGAAAATAGAGGTGTGGGTCCATATACTATCCATATCAAAAGAATAACCTTAAAAAATTAATTAATAAAAAAGAGAGTTGGGACTCATATATTGTAATAATTTATACTACTGTTTATCCATCGAATAATATTAGGGAGAAATTCACAGATATATTCCGATTAATGTCTAACTCATGGTCTTTTCATCAATTTTTATCATTAGATCAACTAGAGACTTATTCCAATTGTATATTCTATTTTAGCGTCGATCCAACAATGAAAAATACTATCCTAAATGAGCCTGAGGTGGGAATACTTTTGTAAAATCCTGATCACATGTATAATTAGAAAACTCACTTAAGTAAGAGCTGTGATGAAGTTGTGGTTATGAGAATTTAACTATGCTCTAATAACTCTCTTGAAAATCAAGGTATGTGTCTGATCATAAATAGCGCCAACTTGCTAAATCAAGTTTAATATTTGTACTATGCGTGTGCAATGTTAAAATTTGACTAAAAGGACCTAATTTAATAAATAGTTCACTATGACTCTTTTAAATAGAAATTATCAACATTAGGTGTAGGTTGAAACCTAATAACACATACACTGAATACATAATAACACATACACATACACTTTACATTTTAACCAAGTCTCCATATCTTCTTCAACACTTGAGTGTAGCAAAGTTCAATTGTCGTTCAAGAATTTAACACAAAAAAAATAACTTTCAGTTTCCTGCATTACAAGACAACCTTAATGGTAAAAACAGGAGAGATAAACTCGGAGATGCCATAATATGCAATGCCAATGTGTTTAAAAATTAGATATGCTGTTGATGACTGCGTAGGTGTAATTGATTTACTGCACATAAATTAATACAATTTACTCTTATTAGAAAATGAATCTGAGCAGTGGCGGACTTAGTATGGGACAGTGGGGGCAGTAATTTTAAAATTTTCAAGAATTTCTTAAACTTGCCCTCACTGAAATTTTCATAGAGTATAGGATAAATTAATATAATTTTCAACCCTTAAAAGTTAACTGTTGGCAGCTCCTCCTCATTTTTCATGCCTAACAGTTGCCTTTACTGAAATTTTAAAAAAAATTGGGACTTAAGTGTAATTTTAAAAATTTCAAGAATTTCTTAAACTTACCCCACTGAAATTTTCTTAATTTTCTAGAAGTATAGAGTATATTAATATAATTTTAAACCCTTAAAAGCTAACTTTTGGCAACTCCTTTTCACGCCTGCATTTTTTTTTTTTGTAAGCCTTCATTTTCTTCGTCCAGACTTCCAGTCCAGTTCAAGTGTCCAGCCATCAGTCCCTATTCTTTCTATTATTTAGTTTCTTTGTTAGTTCCTTTGATATATTCATCAACAAATCACCATATTGGATTCAATCATTGTACAAATTAAATTTGAAGAAACCCTAGAAGATTATGCTAAAACTAAGGAGTGGTAATTCATTAATTAAATTTTTTGATAGTAATATTAGCACTAATCTAAAATTAAATTTTTTATATTAGAAAATTAGTTGAACTCTTGCAGAATTAATGGTTGTTTAGTGTATTATTTATAGGCTTGTGTAGATTTTTTTGGTTTCGTCTTGGATTACCACTCAACTATTTTGAATTTTTGTTAAAGCCCATTTTCAGATTGGCTATTTGAGATTCGTGGTTAGTGCTATTTTTCTTCCCTAAGATTAAATTGTTTTAATTGATTCCTTGAAATTATAGTTTGAATTATATTTTAATTATGTGTAATCCATTATGTCATTTGCTACGAACTTAATGATGAACTCTTAAACTTGAATCTAATTAGACAAATTTATTTTTCAATCAGTTATGAATAGGTTGTCCCCGCTGAGACAAAATCCTGACTCCACCCTCGAATCAGAGTACCCAAATTTATGAAGATGTTTTGTTTGGAGAGAGGGGGGGGGGACACATTGGTAAGAAAGCCCATAACTGTAGTCATACAGATTTCACTAGCACTTTACTAATCAATCAAACAATATGTGACTAATAACACCGAGATGATGTCTTAGCAAATAGTATTTGTAATATCAGTTCACCTATTTTCAGGTCTACAAGAATATAGGAAGATCTTTCTTTTCTTCGCTATACATCTCCATCAATCTTCTATCCATCATTGATCTCATATGCATAAATTCAAACAACTTGTAAGATACCATAGTTCCAAATCTTAATCCTTCCTGNTATGCATAAATTCAA